AATTTTGAATGTGAGGAAGTTATTCAAAAGAGGTGTAAATCTCTCTCTCTCTCTCTCTCTCTCTCTCTCAACACACACACACACACACATATATGTGTATATATAATTCTATGGAAGAGAAAGAAGAAAAGAAAAGAGATGGGTTTAAAATATGAAAGAAATGAAAGTGTTGGGTAGATTCTCTGGACTTGAAAAATTGAAGAATGATGTTGGGTATATAACAAAAAAAAGAAATAAAAATCTAAGAATCAATCATTGTTATCTTCAATTTTTTAAATGTTAATTTCTTATTAGAAAAACTAAGGTCATTTTAAGCCTAACTACATTACAAGTTTGAAAGACCTTGGTTATCTGGACCTTGTTTTGCAATTATGATGATATGGAAATGAATATCAATGTTGGCTTACATGCAAAATGCAATTAGATGAGAGACACACTTACCTTGATGAAGAATTGATTTTATGAAATTTTCATTATGAATTGTGAGAGTTGTTAATTGAAACATGACCAATCAATTGTTCCTCTTATTCTTTTTTAAAAATTGAAATGTATTTACATCTCACTTCTACTTGAATTTGTGGACAACATGTTTTTCTATGTGAAAGATATTTCAACAAAATGCATTGTTCTATAATGATAAGACAAAACAAGGTTGATTTATACCAAACTATTTCTAGTGACTCAATTTTAGTAAATTGTTTAGTAAAAATTTAGATATTTTGCTTGAGGGAAAACAAGATTTTAGGTTTAGCAAGAGTTGATAAGTATCAAGTTTTAGTAAATGATAAATTGAATTAGGACAACTATTGTCTTTAATGAATTAAATTTGAATTTTAATATCCTTCTAATTTAGAAGAATTTAAAGTAACCTATTTATTTTGACTAAGAAAGAGATAGAGATGAATATTCTCCCTAATCCTTTTTTGTTGAATTTTTATTTTATAGGAACCTAGGAAGGTTAGGAAGAAACAAAGCAATGAATCTGCCTATGTTTGCTTAAGTGAAGGATTTCTTGCTTGAACAAAAATGCAAAAAATAAAAATTGGACACTGCTTGATTTTAGCTCAAGTGAGAATTTTGTACTTGAGCGAAAATCCCTTATTAGCTTGATCCAAATTTTTTTGCTTGAGTTAAAATTCCTTAAGTCACTCATTAAAAAAAGAAAAATGAAGAAAAGGGGAGCAAAGAGCAGGAAAAGGGAGTTGAGAAGAAAAAGTTAAGTCATAGAAGCAAAAAAGTTAAGATAATATAAATTATTGTAATATTTATCAATTCCTCTAAAATACAACAATTTAACTTATTGCTAAATATGTTACGTTCCAAATTTTATAATATTATTGATTATTAATATAAGTGTTTAATGAGAATATATGTATATGATTGGAACTGAACTGAAATTTGGCTAAGTGTCTAGTGCTGGGTGTTCTTGCTACAGTGAGAGATGTCTCGCTGTAGCGAGAGGGCCTTGGGAGGAAGACGTGAAACTGTTGCCTTCTCGCTGTAGCAATAAAGCGACAATTTAGGGTGTATTTCTGGGTGCAGTCTTGCTGCAGCGAGAGAGTCTCGTTGTAGCGAGATTTTGCAGAAACTAGGATGCATTTTTCTCTGATATTTTCGTTGTAGCAACAGGGGGCGTCGCTGCTGCGAGATATTCTTGCTGTGCGAGCGTGCCATGACCAGAAGGGTTTTTAAAGGGTTAGGGTTCGAGAAATGAGTTATTTTTACATTTTCCTTCCCTTCTTCCGTGATTCTCTCAATCCCAAACTCTATTTCACCGATTAAATTGCCTCCAAAGTCGTTTGGGAGTATGATTGAAGGTTGAAAATGAGTTTGAGGAATTTGGAGGTAAGTTTGTGGATTAGGGTTTCAAGGTTTTATCACATTTTCTTTGATTTCTTGGTTTCTTATGGGATTTTTCTTATATTTAGGACGAAATCCATTTGGGAAGCACGTTTATTGTTGAATTTTGTCATGGGTCTTCATTCGAGGTAAGGGAGGACTCTACCTTATCTTATTGTATTTGAAAATTGCTTAATTTGTTGTGTATTATAATGTGGTTAGAATGAAATATAGGAAGATATGCATTTTGATGAGGATTCAATGTTTGAGTATAATGTAGTGGAGATTGTATAATGTGTGTGATGAAAATGATGTGATTTAAGTGGTTTGTGATGGAAATAATGTGATTAACTACAATGTAGTCGGTGTTGAGTAATACGTGTGTTTAGAATGACTGTTGTACTTGAAATTATATTGGAAATGTTGTGCGTGGAATGTGGGCCAATGTGTCATATAAAGTGAATGATTGTGGGCTTGAATGCCGTGTACTGTGAAAGAATGTGGGCCTATGTTCATTGTGCAATTGAAATGTGTGTAAATGGGGCATGTTAAATGTCGTTATAATTATGTTATGAATGTTTCAGCGATACACTGAAGGTATGGAAGATGGAAATGGTAGAAATACCTTGGGAAAGAGAGGGTGGTGGTGATACCAACAATGAGCGTGGGTGCACCACAGGCCACACACACTCCTCCTGACTAGATCCCTGACCAACAACTTTGCTGAGTGACTCGTGACTACCTACGCGGTATCCGCGAGGTGGGGGATAACCGGCGACAATCCATAGTGTGAATCTGTGATCACAATGCTACAGTAAGCATGACTACGTGCAGTGAGCGCACGTGTGTGTAAAATGCTTTGGTTCCGTGAGTGCATCGGTTGTAAATTGAAATGAATTGCTTAAAAGTGTTGCCTATGATTGATAATACTTGAGTAGAATATGTTAGAATACATGTGAGTGTGCAGGGTGAATCTCTATGTTGTTTGTGTGATGGATAATATAGAGTACTAACCCTTACATTTATTTTTCAGGTAACCAAGACGATCAGCACTTAGCTTAGTGAAAAGATGAATGAAACTATTATAGGGTTTAGTTTTTATTTTAAAAATTTGATGTAATTGAATTAGGCCCGTAGCAGTTATTGATATAAAACTTGTAATTTTTTATTATTTTGAAAAACTTTGATGAAACTTTGTATCGGAAAATTTTATTTAAATGAAATTTTATTATTTCTATTTTTACAAAATTTATTATTTAAAAATTAAATTAAGGTGTTACAAAATACACGCTTGTTAAAAGTTCTAACAATACTTTTTAATAACTTTTGTGCATATTTTAACATATCCTTACTCTTTATTACCCATTAACGAAAGCTTGGTATATTTATCAAACATTTAATACTTGATAGTGCAAAAAGTAGTATACAATTGCTTATTCTTCAATAGAAGCTGAATATCGTATCATCACTTCCACAACCACTGAAACTTCTAGGATTACAAAAACTTGTTGAAGTGTTGGAGCCTCCACCATCTTGTGAGGGCATGGTAGAGTATTATCCTAATATAATGTTATCATCCAAATTTATCTCACTACTTATTATCTTTATTTATAATTGATTAGTTTTAAAAGATTGTTATCTACTTTGTAAATGCTATTACTTTATATAGTAGTTTAACAAATTTTAAGAATTACTTCATATATATATATATATATATATATATATAATATAGTATGTAAACTCATATAATACATTAATATACATAAGTCTATTTTTTTTGTATAAAAAAAATCTTTTCAATGTGAGAACTGAGAAATAAAAATTACAAATAATCTAAATTAAAAAAATAATTTCACTTTGATCAAATAAAGGTACATGATAGTCTTAATCAAGTGTACAAAATAGTATTAACAAATTTTCAAACAATAAAGTAACAAAACTTAAAAATTAAAGAAAAAAATTGAAATAAAGTAATTGTGTAAAATTTAATATCTCACTTAGATTTTTAATCAACATCCTAAGTGTTAAAAATAAAGAACTACGTATTCTAAAAATATCAATCAAATTTCAGTTTAATACAGTAGTGAACAAAACTCAAATGAAAATTTTACGAAAATTGTTTTAAATTTAAACATAAATAACTTTTTTTCTTTTCTCTCGCCAAGTGCTTCTTTTTCATGACAAATTAAATTCCCTCTTAGCCTCTTCTGATCATCATTCACTAATTAAACAAAATATAATACAAACTTATTATTTTGCAGTATCTCTCCACGTAGAAAGCGAATCCAATAACTAATATATTGTTGATGAAATGTTATGTATCTTAATTATTTAAAATTTACTTTATTCACTATTAAAATTTTTATACATAAGGTGTCGAAAAAAAAAACGCTGCGCAGTTAGCAAGACACAATATGTCAACTTCACACACTGCTTTTGCTAGCTACTTGGTCACCCACCAGCGCCAATAGCCATCGTTGATTTCGAATATTGACGTCACCAATGCTTGTCCTAAAGCTGAAAATAATGCCAATGGCCATGGATAGCCACTTAGTTGCTTTGCTGGTTAGAATTGATATTCTCTCACGGTAGTCCCACGAGTCCTATTCAAGACATTAGTTTAACAATTCCAATTTTTATATACTTTCTAAGTATTTTTACCTATATTTTATAGTACCTTTTTTTATTATTTTTATCACATTATATGTTATATCTTTCAACTCTTCTTATCTCTCGTTTTATGTATTACACTTAATGGGTATATTTCAATCATTTTTCTGACTTTTATTGGGTAATGAAAAATTTCTTTTCTGTTATTGGGCCCATTTGGATAATGCTATTTGAATATTTTCTTTTATTAAAGATATTGTGGGCCAATAATATTTTGACGGTTTCACCTAATTTAGGGGGTTTTATATGTTTACGGTTTATGTAACGGCGGAAAAAATTGAAATGTCTCAATTTTTTTTTCTTGTTCGTGATTTCCTGTTTAGGGATCGGCGAGTGTCGACACTTTGACACATGGTACAAAATGGGTTTTGCCTCTTCTGCGTGGCACCCCCAACAATCGTTTTATTGTTCATTAAGCGTCTTCATAAAGTAAACTTTCCTCTTTCCTTGCTTAGTTGCATGTGGACATTTTAGCATAGATAAGAATTCTACGGTTGGTGGGAGAGTCATGGTGCACTAAAATACCTTTCCTTTTGCTACTAGTCAACTGAATACTTCAAATGTGAAGAAAAAAAACATTTCTCTTTAACCACCGAACAGATCTAATAGATAGTAGATATCCACTTGCCTTGCCCTTTCTTTTTCCCAAGAAACTTGATCCTGTACTCATGTCATAGTTGCTGTTGAAGTAATTAACCTCTTTGGAAGGTTTCATCTTCAATCTCTGATGAAACATGGCCTACTACACCTCTACCTATTCTGGGTCTGATTATGGTGAGTACAATTTCAACTCTTATGCTGTCAATTATGATTATGCTCAAATTCCATCCTATATGACTTACACTGGCTATGAGTACAATCAACCATATTATGGGTATGATCCAAATTTATATTTTGCTCATAATTACCATGCTCAGAGTTACCAAACCATAGCATACTCAGCCACCACTTTTAGTGACCCAAAATCAATTGTGTATGATCCCAATTATGGTATGACTCAGCTTGTAATCTCTTATTCTAACTTGGAATTCAATGAACCTGCGTTTGATGACTATGACCCAACACCTTATGGTGGTGGGTATGACATTGCTGAGACCTATGGCAAACCTCTATCACCTTCAGATAAAATTTGCTACCCTCGTTCTGGGTCAAGTTCAATTAGTGATCCCTTTGATGCCGTTCCTGCTGGACCCATAGTACCATTGCCAACTGTAGAAGAGGAAATTGAAGAGAAAACAGTGAATGGAACTTCCGTCCAAACAATTGAAGAAAAGCCAGAGTCACAAGATAGTAGCATAAATCAGCCAAGGGAAGTAGAAGATAACAACTATGACACACGTGATCTAGAGTCTGATGAAGGTGAAGAGAATGAGGAAAATCACTATGAAGATGACAACAATTCTAGGTACAGTGGAGGACAGGTTGATGAGCATGAGAAGCAAGTGCCTCCTCAATATCCCAGTGGATATGGGTTGGAAGCTATGGATCTTTGTGAAAGTTTGTTTGGGTATTGGCCTTGTTTGTCACGCATGAAGAAGAGAGAACATTGTTGTGAGGAAGTGACTGATAGAGGATACAATTGTCAGGAGAATATGTGGAAAGGTACTGCAGATTATATATTTGGCAATCCATATCCATATGGTGGAAGAGGGGAAGATGGGAGTGGCTATAGAGGAGACCTTCTCTATGCCTATCATAGGCACTATCCAATTCAATCTCAGTACAGACAGGTTGATTATTCTGATGAATCATGGTAACCCATCAAAACAATTTGTTCAAAAATGTAATAAAAAACAATTGAAGGTGTAAAGCTTGTCTCTGTTGTAATAAATGTAAAATTTGAATTTAAAGATATGTAATAAATGTAAAATTTGAATTCAAAGTTTTAGTTTTTATATTATTGATTAACAATGATCAACTGTTATTTTTTTATGTGGAATTGACAACAATTATCCCTATTTAATATAAATCCTGCTTCATTATAATCCTTATTTATTTCTTAAACATTACGCAAACACCTATATTTTATAAATTTTGGGACAGTTTAGAAGATGAGTTGTAGTTGTCATTCACTTTACCTTTAATTATGCCAATTTTTTTAAACATGAATATGTCCCAAAACTTAAGTTAAAGTTAAAGTGGAGCAAATTAATCTAAATTAAAAGTTTTCATTTTATTTTAAATATATAAAATTTCTCTCCTTTTTCATTTTCTTTCTTTTATTAATTCAGGTTCATTATTTCTTGGACTAAACCTAACTTTCTCTCACCAACCTTACCAGACTTAAGCCTGGCCTCATGTTTATCTTTTGAGAAATTATATTGCTACAATAAAATTATATAATTTATATAATTTTTTATTTTTCTTTATCATATCATTCATCCTATTACATATTTTTTCTTTTCGTATTTCTTGTTGTGTGAATATCTGTAAATTTTTATGTTAGAACATTATATCTCCTATCTTTTTATGTTGTCCACAGAAAGTCCACTGACCACGATATAACATCTTATAATAAAACATAGAAAAATCAAAGTTGTAAAATATAAACGGAAGTTATTATGATTATTATTGATAAAAAGTACACAATAATTTTTAATTATATAAATTTACAAGTTCTATTTAGCAACCCACAAACGATAGTCTACATCTTGTTTATACTAATATTGTAATGACATTTTATCAATGGTTAAACTAAAATAGTTAAAAAAATTAAATTATTGACCATATTTTTTTTTTGTCACAAGTTATTGACAATATAATTTGACTAAATTGATATCTGTAATATTTTTTTAAGATCGAAAAAATATTTAATGTGTTTTTCAGTGGAGTTGAAGGTCTCAAATTGTTTCTCAATATATCCTGAAACTTCTGTAAAGTATTCAACAATGCAAGTACATATGTGATATTTCCATTTATTAGCTCAACTTCTTCCCGTGAGGAATGGTTGGGATTGGATTAATTGTTAGAAAATTCAAATATGGGAACAAAGATAGATAGTGATGAATAACCAAAAAAGGGTAGTTGGAGTTATGTTTTCAAACTCGAAGAAAGTAACTTAAAACTTTAAGACTAAATGAATTAACTACACTAGTGATGAAGCACCATGTGAAAATTGATAAGCGAAATTGGCGACTTCATCTTTATAATAAATGCGTGTGCGCGCATTCCCGCACGCATGTTTGATGGATGATATATGTGTGAATAATGGATCCACATCCTCCACTTGTATTCTTTGCTTAAAGAATTCTCACCTAAATTAGCAGAAGATAAAAAAGAGGATCAAAATAATTGTTGTCTAGAACATTCGGCATAGCATGACTTTGGTGATACTTGATAGTTGATACTATAGAAAAAGGACGAAGAACAAAACAGAACAAAAATGAGTGAAAGAGAGAGGAAAAAAGGTGTGTATGCCCCCCCCCCCCCCCCCCCCCCCCCGGCAAGCGCAGATTAAGGCCAAAGCGCCAAAGACCATATTCAAATCCATCTTATATTTACAACTTACGTACAAAGATGTCATTACAGAAACAAAGCATCAGAAATCGTAAAGGCAAAGTTGTTTTCAACCAGAATCATTATTTATTATATAATAATATAGTTTTATATATCCATCATCACCACCTACTAATTATTTCCATTAAAATAATGGAACGTTATCTTTATTCCATTTCCCAACTTTGGATCTCCAATTTTGCCATGCTTCCTCGTCACATTTCCTTGGTCATTGATTGTAACGCAAGGGTAGTTTCTTCATTTCACATAAAATCCATGTAATGCCAACCAAGAACCTAGAAATTCCATCAACTGTCCTCTCTGGCTCCCACTTCCAATCATAGTGTTCGAAAGCTATGTTTGTGTTACCTTAAAAACCCTCTTAAAACCTCAAAACACCGAACTCCTCATTCAAAAGCTACTTCACTCACTAGCTTCCCCCTTCTCTCATTCTTAACATGTCTATGCCACACAGATCCTTTGAACCCAACTTTCTTCTTGTTCTTGTTCTTCTTCTCGTTGTTCCTTTCTCAGTTATTGGTTCATATTCTTCTATTCATGAGCTTCTCCGCAGTCATGGTCTACCAGCAGGGCTGTTCCCAGAGAGTGTAAAGTCATACAATTTGGACCAAAGTGGTCATCTACAGGTGAATCTGGATGGTCCTTGCATGGCCAAGTATGAAACAAGAGTGTTGTTTGAAACTGTGGTTCGAGCTAACCTTAGCTTTGGTCAGCTTAAGGGGTTGGAAGGTCTGTCTCAGGAAGAGCTTTTCCTATGGTTACCTGTGAAAGATATCATTGTGAATGATCCATCATCAGGTCTTATTCTCATTGATATTGGTCTTGCCCATAAACAGCTCTCTCTGTCTCTCTTTGAAGATCCCCCAGTTTGTAGATCCCAAGGTACTGTTACTCTCTATGTATAGCTATTATTTATTGGTGACTTGTCCTTAATTTCTTTGAAGTTTGAATCTTTCAACTATGGGCTTTGGATGGAATTAAGGAAAAGCATGTGAATGAGATTTTTCATCTATACTAGTTTCCAGGCTGCCAAACTGTGATTGGATGAATCTCAATTCTCATCTGTTTTTATTTCAAGATTTCATTCTATACGTGGAGTTTTGATTTCAAAATTTGAATGCGGCATTCAGGTCTTTCGCTAAATATGGGGGGAAGGAAGAGCATTGGATTTCAAGATCAGAGATGAAAGATTGTTTGTTTATCTGAAAAAGATGGTTTCTTCTTTTCTCTTTCCAATTTTGTTTTCTTTTGTCCTTTATCTTTTTCCTTTAAAAATAATTATATGATGTAATGTGGATAGATCCTGTGAGGCTTGTGATTAAATTAGAGATCAGTTGAGGGAAAAAAAAAAACAAGAAACTGATAGCGGTGTTTATTGTAAAAAATCTTTGCGCAATTTTGTTTGCCGCTTTTTTCTAATGTTTAAGGAAAGTTATTTCATGTCATATCATTTCTTTCTTTTCTTTTTACTTTACTAAGAGAGAAGTTATTCTTTGAAAGAAAAATCTATCTGATCCTATGCTGAAGATATTCAAAGAATCTGCTAACATTGATTGTTATTTGAACAATTGTTGAAACCTAGTTTACCTCTCAAATTTTTAAGTAGGAAAACTTAGTTGCTTCAAGTTAAAATGAAGATTAAGGGGATGTTCATGGCCATTACAGAAGGATCATAAATCAAAATGAGACAGCTAAGGTGAAAAAATGTGGTTCTAATTTGACTAACTTGTTTGATAATCATATGGTGAATAATGTCAGTTTACTATGAATTTCCTTCTGTACATAGCTCCATGTTGAACTCATTTTGGAGTCATATTCTTCTGTACATTGCTCCAGTTTTGTTGAAGTACAGTACATTCTGCTGTACTTGAGGCATAAGTGGACAGCATGATTCCGTTGTTGCCTTTTTATTTTAAGGTTTAAGCAGTCGCAGGTTCTTCTCTCTCTTTCCCCCTTTCCCCAGCATCACTTTTTTGTTGTCTAATAACAGCACAAGCACTGTTAATCAGGAGAACCTTCATTTCTTTAGCGCTTTATCCTTTATGACCTTTATTTAATCTTCATACAGATTGAAGGTAAATAAAACATAAAAAAGGGAGTTATTGCAAACATAAATTATAATATGTTATGTGACTGGTTTTCCACTGCAAAAATATTATGAGCTCACACCATACCTGAATGTAAGTTTACTCATATTATTTTATTCAGTATACTCTAAACTCTTAACTTAATCATACCATCTTTTTTATTGGTTACAAATATATTTTTTAATCCAATTAACTTATTTCAGGTAATAATATAAGTGTCCAGTTAATATTAGCATATGCCTCTTTTTGGAGGGGTTGGAGGGACGCAAGAAGATGAACTGATTTTGTAATCTTTTTAGGGGAATACTGATATCTGAATGTCAGTGGCTAGATGATACTATATTGAATCTGCATTATCCAATAGTAACTGAGAATGAAATTATCTTAGCCAGCGTATAGTTTTTTTTTAATTATAGAACTAATCCTCTCAAATGCTAGTAGTACTGGAATCATTGAAGATGATTCATTCCAACAATAAAACAACTAAAAATTCATTTCAACTTGCTCTATATGTCACTGATTATATCTTGCAACAAATTCTTGGTTCCATGAACTGCAAGTTTTTCACCATCCTTGCCCTGAACAATAAAAAATACCGTAGTTAAAAGTAATGGAAGTGAATATTATATCAGCACGTCATTAAGTTTGTGAAGGTAGCACACATGTATACTATATTATAGTACAAAGATGATCAAAGTTGATCTTCCAAGTCTCTTCTTCTGGGTTTGATAACAAAGCGTGCATGCTACTCTTGCTGAGATGAAATCATAATTACTGGTAGTAAAAAACAAGTTTGATTATTCTTTCACAGAATCACCTGTATGCAGCTGGTAATCAGAACAGCTCCTTTTATGGTTGTGAGATTGGTTTCTATAAACTCAATGCCGAAATTGTTCAGGGCCTCCATCAATTTCTTGAATCTTCCCCGCTTCTTCTCAATGATGATCTTGACCCAGAGTTTATTCACATCTATGTGTGCCACTCTAACCTCTGCCTGTAGACAGTAAACAGTGGCAATAACACAAGTCATTAGAATTGTACGGCCTTCATTTTATTCAATTAAAGAAATGACCTTATTGATGACCTGTATCCCCCAATTTTTCATATCATCAACAGCATCAATTTCATCCATTTTTGTCTCTGCTGTTTCCTTCGAGGTTGCTTCCATTTGGTGAAGCTCTTGACTGAGACTATGGACTTTGTCTTGCAGCTTCATGATGTAGGTGATAGCATCTTCAATAATTGTTGCTTTATTCATCTGAAACAAAAAAAATTTGAACTTTATAATCACTTTACATTCCAAAAGTTAATGTAACAATCTGTATACTAATCCATGAAAGTGGACATTGAATAAAGTAAGGATCAAGTAAGAGGGTGAGGGCTTTGAGTGTTTGCATTTGTGATGATAGGTACTAAAGAGCGCAGCATCAAGAGCCTGCTACTTAGCCTTTCCCTCCTCCTCCTTTCAGTCTCAAGATTCTTGGATTTGTACTCTTTTGTGTCATCATCATAGTTCTTCTTCCTACTCATCCTTTCCTTGCTACTACCATTTTCATTTGATAGAGAAAACCCTTCCATACTAATAGACAAAAGGGTCTTGGAGAAAGGGGGAAAAAAACAAGTATTGAAGAAACGTGTGTCAGTTCAAGGCTTTGTAAATTGAGAATTATGTAAGTGCCTCTCCTGTCAGAGAGACAGGAGAAGAGAAAGTACATTGATGTGTGTTCTGAGGGCCTTTTCTATGGTCCCAGGTTGATTCAGTTCAGGTGTGTTTCGTATGACAGAGAGAGAAATATATTCCTGTTTGGCCATTTAAGCATGTCTTTTACTTGTTGGAATCTTCGTAACAGAATGTGATCATGATTTATGATTATTTGGTCATAAAATGCAATTAGAAATCGTATTGGTATATTTTAGTTAATAACTTCTTTCTTGAGGTTAGTCTAATTAGGGCTTAAAAAATAAATTCACCACAAAACAATATAAGTTTAGATACAAATCATCATTGACAAAATAATGCTGATCAAAGACAGTTCACTAATTCATACCCTCTGTGGAGGCAAAACGCTGTAAGCTTCAGCAAAAGTGAAAATAAACTTTCATGTGCATTTTGATGTGATTTGTTAGGTCAGGTCTTTGGCAGTTTGGCCTTATTGACTGAAACTGCAATAGCACAGTTGATTAAAGTTGTTAGAGAAGAGGCATATTTATGGCCTTCCCGACTCAAATTTTCTGTTTGGCTTAAATATGTTGCGTCTCTTAACATATGATTTTTAAAAATTTATTTTTTATTTTTTTAAAAATTAAGAATTGTGTATCTATAGTAACGAAGGACTAAAAAGGTAGCGTTTTTAAAATACAGACATATTTGTAACTCCGCTTGGCATGCAGGGTACCGACTCAGAGCAGACAAGAACCCTTGAAATCACTTGCGGGCAATTTGACTGATGCATGGTTCATTACTTGAGCATGCAAATTATTCTGTTGTTTTATTAAACCACAAGTCCACAACCATTTTACCATAAAAGCAAACTTATGATATAATTGAGTTACTGCGTGTTTAAAAATTCGCTCAAATCACGGTAAATCATGAATTGATTTAATCTAGTGTTAGAACATATCTATTTATTAGAAGTTCGTATTTTTCAGACGGGTTTCAAACAATATTTTAGAAAACAAAATAGAAATTACTGTGACAAATTATTTTGGATCATCGTTTGATTAATTGAACCGATGATGAATAGTTCAACCGACCTGAACCAGTCAGTGTAATAAGAAATAATGTTAATCTGACAGAAAATAAATCAATTCATGGATTAACATGTTAAAACACGACAGGTATTCAATTTTTTCAATAATATTTTTGAAGCTCAAATTGATACTAGTGGCTAACGTGTTGATCCAGGGGATCATTTTGCAAGCTTGTGGTGGATTTATAGAATGGGAAAACCAATCGCCACACCCGCTGCAAGCTAAGCTTTGCCGAATATTAGTTATTATTTGTTATCTCAACATTAATAGACTGGACAGGCTTGGATTGCTACGGTAGTTTATATATATATTTCTGTTTTTGAGATTGAGTGTTACAATCTATGATGGTATCACTTGTATAATTCTCCTTGATTTGTTGCACGCACTCTGCTTCATTTATTGTTCTCCATATTTTTTCTTTGTTAATTTCCTTCAGTTCGTCCTACCATGGAGAATATTACTATAGATAATTCTTTGAGTCTCTTTTTTCTTCATTCCTCATATCACCCTGTTTTGATTTTGGTGTCTCAACCAATGGTAGGTGATAACTATAATTCATGGAGTCATTCCATGAAGATTGCTCTTAATGTTAAAAACAAATTTAGTTTGTGGATGATTCACTTCCTCAACCACATGAAACAAATGTTTAACGTTTGCTTGTTTGAGAGAGAAACAATAATATAGTCAATTCTTAGATTCTTAATTGTATTTCCAAAGAATTGGTGGCAAGTGATATATGCTGAATCTGTAACTTCAATTTGGGTTGACTTAAAGGAACGTTTTCAACAACACTCAAGACCAAGATCGTATCAACTTTGTAAAGGATTAATACATCTTACTAAATGTACCTTGACTATAAATCAATACTTAACAAAATTAAAGGTTATTTAGGAAGAATTGATTGATTTTCACTCATTCTATTCTTGAACATGTGGAGGTGCACAAACCTTGATTCAATATGCAAATCAAGAATATGTGATAGCATTTCTCATGGGCCTTAATGAGCAACACAGTCAAGTTCGAAGTCAAATTCTAATGCAAGATCCTTTGTCACCTATTTTTCGGGTGTTTTCTTTGGTTTTACAAAATGAAAAACAACAAGAGGTTAGTACTACCTCGTCTATAAGTGATGCTCCCCTTACTTTTGTTGTTAACTCTAGACAACACAATAATGGAAAGTTATAAAATTTAAAAAAAGTTGACCCCAATACACCAAATGCGGACTTCTTGGTCATACTGTTGATAGATGTTACAAAATTCATGGTTATCCTCCTAGATACCTCAAAAACAAATCCAAGAATTAGTCTGGTCTAACAACTATTCATCACATCAATGCCCCATCACGGCAACCCGAGAATAATCTCTTTCTACCTCCAAATCAATGCAAGTTATTGATGTAACTACTAATCCCCACACATGTCACAGACCATTACCCCTAATGATAACTCAATTGTTAATGCAAACAATCAAGATCTCATCCTTTCCACCTTTCCTTATTCAAGTTCAGTTTTTTCTTCTTACACTTGAATCATCAATTCAGGTGCCACTTGTCACATTTGTTGCAAATTATCCCTTTTTAGCAATTACTCCAATATATCAAATTCTTTTGTTACGTTACCCAATAAGTCTAAAATTTATGTTTTAGCTATTGGCACTGATTTTCAGTTTACCTTCAAAGTGTTCTCTATATTCCAACTTTTCATCTTAACCTTATTTCTATCAATTCCTTACTAATCCTGATATATCTCTTACTTTTTCTAACAATTCCTTTTTTGTACAGGACCACAAACTTCTGAAGATGATTAAGAAGGGTGACTTACTCAATAACTTATGTTTTTCATATTATTACCTCTGTATAGCTGATAATAATTCAATAAATAGTATATGTTGTAGAACAAATAAAGTTCAGCCATGGATATGGTCTCATAGACTAGGACACCTGTGTCATAAATATCTAAAATTTTTGAATTCAAAATTTTGTTTCTGTATTCCTAACTTATATTTTTCATATTCATGTAACATTTGTCCTTTGTCTAAAAAAAAGAAGTTATCTTTTGTCTCAAACAATCATTTCTCTTCTCATTTATTTGATCTTATACATTGTGACATATGAAGACCATATCATCACATCACTCATGATAATAAACAGTTTTTTCTTATTTTTGTTGATGATTATTCTCGTTTCACTTGGTTATACATGATACAACATAAATATAAGGCTCCACAATTAATTTCACAATTTTTTAAAATGGTTGAGATTTAATTTAACACTTTTATTAAACAATTTAGATCAGACAATGCCAAGGAACTACACCTGGCTGAATTTTTTGCAAGCAAAGGAACCATACATCAATTTAGTTGTGTTGAAAGAACACAACAAACTGTTATTGTTAAAAGGAACCATACATCAACATCTCCTCAATGTGGCTCTTGCATTATTTTTCTAATTCAAAGTTCCAATATCTTTTTGGGAAGAGTGTATTAAAACAATTGCTTTCCTTATCAACAGAGCACTTTTGCTGCCTTAAAAATGGATACACCATATAAATTGATTTATGGTAAGGAACCTGAATACAACACCTTACAGACATTTGGATGCCTAGCCTTTACATCTTCATTTCCATCCCAAAGAAATAAATTTTCTCCAAGGGCAATACCCTCTGTCTTTATTAGATATCCATTAGGATACAAAGCATATAAGCTTTATAATTTGGTAAGTAAATGTTTCTTTATTTCCAGAGATGTGGTTTTTTCATGAATTCACCTTTCCTTTTCAAATTTTTCCTCAGGACACAAGTTTACTGGATCCTTTCTATAGTATTGTCACACCTAATCCTGTACCAGATGTTTTATTTCAATTGGCACCTTTATCAATGAAGTCTAGTCCAACAATTATACCACAGTTTGAAGTAGAATCTTCACCTTTAGTACATACAGATTCACTAATAATTAATCGGAATTTAAGATGATCTACTATAATAAGTATAACCTTATCTTATCTACAAGATTATCAATGTAACATGGTACAACCATATGCTATTGAAAACTTCATCACTTACAAAAACCTTTCTAAGTCATATAGAAACTTTGTCCATCAAACAACAATTATTCATGAACCACAGTTCTATCATTAAGTAGCAAAATTTCTTGAATGGCCGCATGGAATGAAGAAAGAATTAGATACTATCAAAGAAAATAATACTTGAACAATTGTCTCTTTGCCCAAAAACAAACATACCATTGGCTGTAGGTGGATTTACGAAGTAAAAACTAAATCAAATGATACTATAGAAAGACTCAAGGTAAGATTAGTTGCCAAAGGATATACTCAACTAGTAGGAGTGAATTTTAAGGACACCTTTTCACCAATTGCCAAATTATCAACTGTAAGAGTGCCTCTGGCACTTGCTACAACAAAGAAGTGGCTGAACTTGACATTAATAATGTCTTTCTCAATGGAGAATTATTTGAAGAGGTCTATATAAATCCTCCTTTTGGGTATCACATTAAGGGAGAATCTTGTTTGTAAACTCAATAAATAAATCTTTGGACTGAGGCAAGCCTCAAGACAGTAGCTTACAAACTTTTCTACAACCTTAGTTTTAATGGGTTTTACTAAATCAAAATGTAATTACTCACTTTTTACACTTGGTGCAAGTAATTATTTTGTGACTTTATGTTACATGGATGACATCATAATTGTTAGTCTAACATCTACTTTAATCACTAAAGTGCAACAATAGCTAAAGAGTATATTTAAACTTAAGGTACTTGGCAATTTGAAGTACTTTTTGGGTTGGAAACTCGCTCATT